CCTAAACCCCAAAAGTATATAAAATGATATTCCTGAACCCATAAAAGCAGCCATAAGGGCCATTATTTTGCATACTTTTGGGTCCAGGTAGGCCTCTAAGTTTCTGTAGAGCCCCGAAAAAAGGGACCCGCTTCTCATGAAATGCTTTCCCCGCAACCGCCACGCCTTTCATGCCATACGTGCGAGCAGACATTTCGGAGTTTCTCAACATAATCCCCCACATATTATCCGATAGGGACTGCCATAGTACCCTTTAAGGTCCCGTCTTAAAAGTGGACCCCTAAACCCGGGCGTCCAAAAATTGCCCTTCTGAGGTTCCCTATGCCCTCGGGGCGGTCTTATACTGGGAGCCGAATAAGGGGAACACAATTTTGATATCCTACCTGATCTGAACATCGCATATGTTCATAAGACCCGGTTCCCAAGATGATGGGTTGCTCTTTCTTAGCCTCTATTGGGCTTGTAATATACAGATACATATTAATATATACATATGCATATAGAGGAAGTACATCCTGAGCTTTAGAAAGAGAGTTTTGGAACCCTGGACCACAAACAGACGATAAGGAAAGACAGGACAGCGGCATGGACAGCCCGGATGAGATGGATGTGGACGCCAACTTGTGCTGTCCCGATGCGCTGAGCGCCACCCTCTCGGCCGCCCGGTGCTGAACTACTGGGTTGCTGTTAAGGAACCTAAGTTAAGTTACCATAGTGGGTATATTATTTTTCTCGTAATGTATCCGGAACCTAGAATCTGGATTCTTACATTAAGTTACCATAATGGATATATAGGGTTTAGGGTATGTAGGGTATAGGATTTAAGTTACCATACTGGGTATATATTGGAACTAACAGGGTTGCCCCAACGTAGTAACTTAGATTAAGTTCCTAAACAGCAATTCAGACCAGAACCCTCAACCCTAAACTCTAGACCTTAGACCCTAAACCTTAAACCTTAAACCCTAAACCCTAAAACCCACAAGGGCTTGGGGAGCAGCCTTCTTGCCGCAGAACGGGAGTGACCATTCCTGGGTCTTTGCTTTGCATGTACACTTGTACTATCAGTTTAGGGTTTTGGGTTTAGGGTTTAGGGTTGGGGTTTAGGGTTTTGGGTTTTAGGGTTTTGGGTTTTGGGTTTTTGGGTTTTAGTGTTTTTTGGTTTTGGGTTTAGGGTGTAGGGTTAAGGGAAGAAGGCTGAATAAGTACCAATGCTATCCCATTGTAATCCGCAGAACTGTAGTATAAGGTGCCCCAAGGCCTATATTCTAAGCATGTAGCCCCCTAGAATCCGCACACCTATATAAGCCCAAGTTCAATTGGTGTTTGCATGTTCTGTTCTATGTGATTCTCCACTGTTTGAGGTAGTTAGATGAAACCTTGACTCCTAAGCCCCCTACACCCTAAATTCTAGACCCTAAACCGCAACGCTACTGTAACTAGCCAGGCACCTAGAGTGATTCAGGATTGAGGGTTTCGGTTTCAGTGTTTATGGTTTCGGGTTTGGGGTTTAGGGTTCAGGGTGTAGGCTTATGCCGGTAGACTCCCTGTCGCTTAAGGGCGCCGTCCGGTCAGGAGTTGGGTTACTTATCGTACTGCCCGGACAAGCCCGTTATTGCGCTATTGTAACCCATTATACGTAGCTTACCATAACCATTAGTATCTCCAGGGTCCCTCAAGGTAGGTACCTAAACCCAGCAGGGCTGTGCTCATTTGTATAGGCAGTATCTTATGTAGGAATATAGCCGGCGCAGGGCTTCCTTCTTCTCCAAAGTAACATGAAAATAGTAATGATAGTGCAGGTTTGGGAAGTGGGTGAGTATTGAGTACTGAACCCTTAGGTTTCTGGTGTCTTTGATGCGTTTGTAACCTCGGGCTGCGCACGTGAATGGTTCCTGGACATAAGCAGTTCCAAGTAAGTTGGGAAGGCTTTCGCGTAGGTTATACCAGTAACCGGTCTAGCTACCCCAGTGTTCATGAATGCCCCAGTGTGGTTCCAAATAATACAATACGACTGACAGTGTAACTCTTACTGACCTTGAGTCCGGCAATCCTGACGTGCCTCACGAACAAGTGTACGTTGAGCCGCAGGGCCCCAGGGTGTGGGAAGACACGTGCACCAGCACAGTTGGCCTAGTTTGAAAAGAGGATCGCTCGAAGGTGCGTCTCCCTACCCACAACCAGTACCCATCATTCTTTGGGAGACCCCCTGAGAAGAAAGACACAGTCTTGACCATGAGCCCAAAACCCTGCACCCCCCATCCATGACTTAGAAGTAAGGTGATCTGCTTACCTTCCTGGTTGTGTTCACTTCAAATGCCGCGCGGACGATGAGCGAGTTTTTCAACACTGTGGGTGATGGGCGCCATTTGGGGTCCTTATGTCGAGAGAGTTGTCTTTGGGGCATTAATGGGGCCTGCTTAAGAGTTGAGCGGAGAAGGCGAGAGGGAATCAGCCAAGGAGGGGGGAGGGGAGGGAGACAGAGAGAGCGAGAGAGAGCGAGACGGAGAGACGACCATGCAAAACCTAGTGGCACTGACGTACTTACTCAGGGGTGTGTTGAGGTCTCATGTTCCTGGCAGTATTCTCCTAGCCATCTAAGTGCATGGAAGAGACGGAGAGACGAAGCTTTGACTGGGTTGCTGATAGTTAGGCTTTTAAATTTAGTTACTTTTCTGAGAAAACCCTACTATTTACATTTTTCTATATACCTGCAAAATCTCATCTTAACTGAATTTCAGTTCCCTAACAGCCACCCAGTTTGAGGAAAATGTTTCCTACGTCTGCTTCTGCCTCATTCTAAGGGTCCAGATATATTACCAATGGAATTAGGCCCAAAGGCCATATTCTGGAACAAATTATGGGTCCTAATTCCTTGTGTGTAATTTATACATTGACTCTCTAGGTCATTAGCAAATTCCATACACCGAATCCATGATGTATAGTCCCGTGAAGTAGATAGACTATGGGGTATATGGAGATCCTATTGTAATATACCCAAAGCCATATTCTACCTACTTAAGGGGGAGTATATAAGACCTAGATCCTGAATCCTAGACCCTAAACCCTATATTCTATCTACTTAAGGGGGACTATAGGATTGGGGATGTTTCCTAGAACAGTAGTTAAGGGGGACTATATGTTCAGCGCGAAATTCCCCAGCTCCGCGGCCCGCAAAATCGGAACCAAAACCTGGGAGTGCAGACCGCGCGCGCCTGTCAGGCAAGGTTTGAGCAGAATGAAGGGTTTAGGGTATAGGGTATAAACCCTAAACCCTCAACCCCTAAACCCTACACCCCTAAAACCTAAACCCCTAAACCCTAAACCCTAAAACCCTAAACCCTGAACCCCTAAACCCTAAACCCCTAAACCCTAAACCCCTATCGGCCAAGGTTCGACCAGAATGAACGAGCCGCAGTGCTGGTGTGGGGCAAGTATGTGGGCTCCATCAATGACCCCGGGATCCATGTTGTGACCCTCGCTTGCGGTTTAGGGATTGGGTTTAGGGTTAAGGGTTAAGGGTTTAGGGTTTAGGGTATAGGGTGGGGAGGGTCAGGGGGACTTAGTAAGTAGCTCCCCCATAACCCATATAGTAGCTCCACTTATCCCCATAATCAACCTACTTACTAAGTCCCCCTGACCCTCCAAGTACTCACCAACAGGGTTAATGTGCCCATATGAGTTACTGTCAATATTAGGTTTAGGGTTTAGGTGCTTAGGGTTTAGGGTTATTAGCCTCATTAAGGGACCCTTGACAGTGGACATAGGGATCCCCCTTCGTGTTTAGCGTAGTGCCTAAGATAGTCCCTAATAAGGGAACCATGTCCATTAGTTGTGTAGGAAATATTGACTGTAGCCCATATACTGCCTATAGTACCCGTTGTGTCCATTTCATTTTCCATTGTCTTTTCCATTTCATTCTCCATCAGTGGGGTTCTAACCTAGACCCAAGCCTATACAATCCCTATATGACCTATACAACCCTGTGCATATATTTGGGACCCGAGAAACAGGCAAGCGCTTGTCTAGCCCTTGTAGGTTTTGGGGTTTAGGAAGTTATCTTCGATATGCAATGTTTCTGCCACGAGCCCGAAAAATCTCAGCGGAGTCGGGTTCGGATACTAATAGCTGTTATGTTGGCTTGGGGCTATAGAATGCATGGCGCTTTTAGAAGTTCTGAGAAGTGGGGCCTAATCGTTTCACGTTATTAAAAAAACTACCCCCTAATAATAATTAATAAATCCAGGGCTCTAAAAATCCTCAGGATAATTTTAAAAGAGCGAAGACTACTTCAAAAAGGAGCCAGACCAGAATGAATTAGGGGGGGGGTGAGGTCATTAGGGGTGTATAGTAGGAAATCCAAAGGAATTAGAGATCCCCTTGACATCCTAGGTTTTGATTGATTTTCATATGGTTTTATACAGGATTTTATATGCAAGAACTGAATGCAATTTTGATTGATTTCATTACAAGTTTAGCCGTACTTAATTAAATCTCAATTGAATTTCATTCAGTTTGAATTGATTTTGAAAGGAGTTGTGCTTAAATTTCAACTGACGCCAACGTGATTTACTTCGATTTCAATTGATTTTAAAAGGAATTGTAAGTGATTCTAGTGATTTAAATTCGGTTTCAATTTTACTTAAGCTTCAATTGATTCTGAAGTGATTTTAAATCGATTTCAACTGATTTCAAAAGGAATTTTAATTAAGATTCAATTGATTCTAGTGATTTTAATTCGATTTGAATTGATTTTACAAGGAATGTTATTTTAATTTCAATTGATTCTGACGTGCATTTTTTGATTTCAACTGATTCTAAAAGGCATTTTAATTAAATTTCAGTTGATTCTGATTTTAATTCGGTTTGAATTGATCTTAAAAGGAATTCTCATTAAATTTCAATTGGTTCTAACGTGATTTTAAATCGATTTCAACTGATTTTAAAAGGAATTTTACCTAACAAAGCAATTGATTCTAGTGATTTTAATTCGATTTCAAATGATTCTAACGGGATTTTAATTCGATTTCAATTGATTTTAAAAGGAATTTCAACTAAATTGCAATTAGTTCTAACGTGATTTTAATTCGCTTTGAAGTGATTTTAAAAGGAATGTGAATTAGATTTTGATTTTTGACAGGTAAAGGCAGCCCTACCAATTCTTTCAATAAATATCCACCTAATAATAAATGATGTCTGAGCCCCCAGATTATTTATTATTAGGAGGGGGCACGTCGTTCTTTTTTTTATATTAGGGGAAGGGAGTAGGCCCATCTTTTCCCTTTTTTTGCCAGTGTGTAGGGGCAACTGTTTGTTTTGGTTCTTGGTACACTTGAGCGTGGGGTGGTACCATGGGCCACGAGCTTCGACAGCGGAAAGCTATGTGGTTAAGGCTCAGCCCCCCCGCACACAGTGACAGTGTCCCCAACAGATAAATGTGGGTGGAGGTACAGGACCAGGTATGGACCGTTAATGCAAAAAGTGCTGATTCTGGTGCTGTAGGGCATAAATGCTGACCGTCCCAGCATTTGGGCTTCCTGCAAGAAACATGGAACCCAATCTATATCTCATCTTAAACTACAGAAAAGAAGCTAGTCTTGGTGGGATCCCGCGACAGGTTTCATGTTATTTCCCGGGAGAGTAGGCAACGCACAATTCTTTTTGGTGTAGTTCTTGAAAAAGGGGAGATGTCTGCTATGCCTGTGCTCTTGCAGACTCTGGACCCTATATCCGAAGTCCATCTGCAGAAGCTGAAGACATGCCATGAATAGTATACCCTGGGGCCCTGGGGCGCCAAACCCTAAATGGTAGAGAACACATCGCAGCAGCCTATTCGATGAACCCGAAGAGTTGGGCTAGGAGCTCCAAGTAATTATAGCCCCAAACCACACCTAGAGTGACCAGTATACCCATAAAGAAACGGCGTTGTACCTAAACTTCTGGCATATTGACCCTTTATTTTAGGGTTTAGGGCTTATGGTTCAGGTTTATAAGGTTACTCTAGGTAGGGTGAGCGTTGCTGTAATCCCCAAGTCCCAAACCTCGGGAGTCTACCACAAACTAACATGAGGTTTAGGGGTTAGGGTTTAGGGGCACTAGCCCCACAGGTCCCGGCATTCTAGGTTCATGTCAATGTTAACTTCCTCAAAGCCTGTATCAGACTTATTATCACCCAAATCTGAAGTAGAATGTTAGGTACTTGGACCTTCAGGATAGTTTTTCAAGTGCTTTTGTTGGCTTGCATGTTAGTTTCTAGACACAACAATCTTTCACATACAATCTTCCGGGCTTTGTAGACGACCCCACTTAGTCATGATTATCCTGATCCAGATTTCCTACATAAAGGTGCCATCATACGTGTTTGGAGGATTTGCGATTGCAGAAGTTCTTGTAGATTAGGTTTAGGCACATTTGAGAGGTGTATGCCTCCGGGTTCAGGTACCCAAATAATATAATTGCGGGTGAATACACCAAACACCATCTGGATGGTCGTATTTCGGACTGAAAACTGCATGGTTTGAGTACGTTGATTTCTTAGGAGACTTTGCCACGTAATTCCTAGTATAGACACCCCACTTTGTACCCCTAAACCCTAAACCCATATACATACTTAGGATCCTTTGGGATTTGGGGAAGGTGTATCATCATTGGGGTTGTTGTGCTTGACACCTTTTGATGCTCAACTCCCCAAGCTTGTGCCCCGGACCCCAAGCCCCTAAACCCTGATAAAGCCATAGACCTGAAGTCATAGAGTTTAGGGTTCAGGGTTTAGGGTGAATAAGAAAACCCCCATTGCCATTAATCATGAATTCTCCCATAGAACTCAAAATTCCTGCCCCTGTACCCTGGAACCCAAGCACAAACTCCTGTTCTGCCCAAAACTGCGACCCTGAAGCCTCTACCCGAACTCCTGAGCCTTACACCGAAGCCTCTACCTGAAAGCATAAGCCCTGAGCTAAGTAAGCCTAAGCCCATGACTTAGGAACCCATGCGGGGTGGTGACACGGAAGATCACCACGGTCCGCAAGACCCTGGACGTACGCGAGGTGAACGTCACTGAACCATGGCTACCCTTCGGGGTTCCTGGTACCCAAATGGGTTTGGGGTTTCCTAAACCCTAAACCCTAAACCCTAATTTAGGGGGATTGTACCCACCCCTAAGGATCTAAGTTTCCAATTTACAGAGCGTAGGCGATTGAATGCCACAAAGCAGGTGATAGTATTTGGGGGTTTCCCAAAATT